ATGTTACCGATTCGTTGTTAGGTACAGTGCGAGTAGCTGATGTCAACAAAACGGTAGGGATTACCCATCTACCCACCGAAACGACGGACTATTATTAAAAATAAAAAACCCGAGTCGGTCGTTGTTTTATACAAAAGAGAGTTTCTTTTTTCGCGTCGTCTAACCGTTTAAAATGTTGAATTCTAAGATTAAAAGACATTATAATAATATTATTTGCGTAACGACGGTTGTGCACTTTATTATATTATAATTCATTTTGTTAAACAAATATTGTATGTTTTTAACAACAACGACAAAATAATAACAATAAAAATAAGTATTAAAATTGACATGATTAAAAATGATAAAAAAATGTGTGTGGTGTGTCACGGCGGTCTCGTTACGTTTTCGAACGCGTATTATTTTAAATTATTCTTATAGGATGACACGAACAATTATGAACTGTTGACGGTAGATTCGCGTTATTGAATTATACAGGATGTCCCACGTTGATATAGTTTATCCGTGTGTACAAATGGACGGATGGATATTACTGTATGTCATTTTGGCCGGACACTCTGTCCGAGAGAACGAAAAAACCGGTTTCAAGTGACTCGACACTGAACGAGAAAATGTATAAGATAATATTAATAAAAAAAAAAACAAAAAAAAAAAAATAAACAAACAAAACGAACACAACAAAGAGCGATCGAGTTTGCCAATAAACACGAGTATAATTATTTATTCGTATGGCATAGACAACGATGGAGTAGTGTATACAAACATGATTAGGTATAACAGTAAACTATTGTATAACAATCCTTAAACTTGTAAAGTTAACGGGTCGTTAATTGAAATATACGCCTTACAATAATACACATATAATTCGCAACCCTAGAACAAAACTGCCGCAACTCAACATTTGTCGATTTTGAGTTGTGACCACTTTTGGGTAGCGGGAAATCAGCTTTGTACAATGGAAGGACGCCACGTTCAATATCGTTTTTCATTTTGCCGCTAAAAAGACGTGTCAGTATAGAACTATTTAAGTTTCAGTAAATTTTCAATGCGACGGAGTCGTATTTTACTTTATGGCATTTAAGATTTATTCATTTAATCACCGACGTTAAAATTAAAGACATCCTCATTTCGATTTACGGCTTTTTCGTGCTACCTATATAAAAAATAATAATTCCGTTAGATGGCTATAGGTTTAATACAACACTTCAGATCGATTTCTCTTAAAACTATTTATTTTGAATTCGCGACGGTACGGTTAACAAGTTCGCGTGTCTGCGCAATGGAAATGTGAACTTTCTACCGGTTTTATTTTTCAAATTTCCAGTAAATCCGTGGCGCGTTTCAATGGCTTCGATATTCAAGTTTCGTTGGACGATATTAGCGTAAAACCCATGGACCGCCGATACTTTTGATAGTTTCTACTACACTTTGGCAATCGATGACGAGCAGCCACTATTATAACATAATATTATAAACTCACCCGTTTACAATAATTACAATTTCATTGCAGACATAATATTGACGTCGGAAATATTAGATAGTTTGGATTGGCTTAACTGATAATATTATATAAGGTTATTAAACAGCAAAGTTTTACGACACCGGCAACATTATATATACATATAGCTGACTAGTTTCAATCGTCGCAGTAGGTATACGATAGGTAGCGTATTGATTGGATAAACAATTTGTTTATATATTTAATCCGGACGAATAATTTACTAAAATTATTTTCGTCCGTTAAAATTGGAAAATTTGAAAATTTGTTTACTTATACTATTATCTGTAATTTTAACGCAAGTTTGGGTAATTTTTACATACATTTTTTTGTTTGTTATTGCGAGACGTAAAAGCTAAAACATTTTCAGTAGTCAAAAACTTATCTTTTTTTTTTTTTATTATTATTATTTGAATTAAAAATCAAAATAACAAAATGTACCTTGATAAATTTGCAACTATTTAGTATTATTGTCTTTACCTCGTTACATTTTTGTTTTATCTTCTTTCAATCGATGGCAAAAAAAAAAAAAAAAAAAACAGAAAAGAAAAGATTATATCCGTGTAGTATAATATCCTTGATCTCCAACTTCTCTAACAACGTCTGAAATTTGTCCTGCGCAAATAAATAATAAAGATAATAATTATAGTAATTTGTTGAAATATCATAGAAAATAACAATGTTTACGATTATGGGTCAGTATAGTTTAAATGATATTTAGAGAAATAATATTACGGTATCTCGCGTCTCTCCGAAGTACGATCCGCGCAATTTTCCGTACATAACATTTCATTTTCCTTCTGCCTCTGTACTCTGGCTAAAATCATTATGGCAAGTAATAAGGACGACAATTATTTCGTTGTTTCGTTTCGCTTGTTGATTGCATCACCACTAGATTACTATAATATCACTCGGTATTTTATAAAATACCGGTTCAAAAACCACCGTTCTAAATATTTAGAATTGTTTGCATTTTCGACATGTGATTTAATTACTTAATAATAATTTTTCTTCTACGTATATTTCATTTTTTAATTTATTCGTACGGAACATAAAATCTGAAACGAAACCGTCTGCAATATAATTTAAAATCCATGGTAACCAAATATTTACTAAAATGTGCGTTTAATTATAATAAGAGACGACACAATAATTACGTAATATTATAAAATAGCAAGACGAAACATATTTATAAGAGTATAAATAACAATAAAGTAATTAAAACGGTTAAATTATTTAATTCAAAATTATTTTTTTTCGTTAGCTTTTTTCATTGTTCGAAAATGTTATTTTTATATAAATATCCGATGTTTTAACGATACATATTTTATTTCGATAATGAGATTACATAGAATTTTACAATGATTAACCTTCTATAGACATTGACTTTACTTGAGTTAAATATTTGATTTTCAAAAATAATCGTTTATTACATTCCATTTAAGTATTTATTTTTGAATATTCAAACTAGAATACATTTTCAAATTGTAAAATAAACGTGTAATCAGATTATAATTTAGACATAACAAATTAAAAACTTAAAGGCGTGTAGGAGGAGAATTTCAGACTAAATAAACTTATTTTAGGTATAGGTTCTTTAGGCTTTTTTTTTACAGCGGGAACCAAGGGGGACGAAATAAATGGAAAATCCCCGTCCTAAAAAATGTTCTTCAAAATATGTCTTGGAAATTAAATCGACACATTTTAAGACTAGTATATATAAAGATTTAGTTATTAATTAAGAGTTATTAAGATTCTAGTAAGGATAGGTGCATAGACTGAAGGCCAATGTTTTTTTTGGGGGGGGAGAGAATGTATTTCGTCCGAAGTAAATTATGTATACTTAGTACTTACTTGAAGAAAACTTGATTTGGCTTTACTTCATTTTTGGATGATATTTTTCTCCCATATATGCGTCAATTGGTGTGAGTAACACTCACAAATGTGTTTTTTTTTTTTTTAATTTTACGGTGAATAATACAATTAATGAGAGCTACCCTCTCCCCCAAAAATAAATTATGTTTATACTGTATCGCTATAATTTTACTTATATTGTAAATATTACTAGGTAGTCAATTTGCATTGCCTGCCTCATTGATATAATAAGAAAAAATATGAGGAAATGGGTTTCTTCGAGCTGTACATTGTACAGTCTTTAGCTTTTATCTGTTTCTCCTTTGTCTTCACTCCCCAATAGCTATAACGTTATCATTTACTGCATGTTTCAAAGATCTTTTGCGATATTTTTCTTTCGAGTACAAAAAAGTCTGCAGTTTTGTATTACATTTTTCATTTAATCGAATTATCGCATTAAGTAAGTTACATTAAAATTAACGAACTATTATCTTATACGTTTATTATAATAGCTTTTTGAGGGTTTCGCATCTCGTATAAAATTAAAACAGTCGCCGTTCCTAGGACATGACGAGAGGAACCGCTTTTTTATAATGGCTGGACTGGTTCTGCACTCTTATTGAGCCAATAAAAGCAGTCGATTCGCAGAAAAATAGGGATGCTCGAGATAATCGCTCCCAATCACCATTCCTCTAATTTTCCCATCGTTAAACTAGCCTAATGCATTCTGTAGTCGGGCACATGATGTGTAACTGTATAAGCCTATAGCTAGAAATCGTATCCACCCCGAGTGCCGTAAATCTTCAGGGTGGCCATGTAAATAGGCATTTGTTCATAACGATATTATAAAGGATTACCTACCGCTTATACCAGTTACTGCATATTGTATACGACCTGTCGACAGAGTGACATGTGCGGTATAAAATCGAATCCAATCTGTGTGTGTAAGTATGTGTGTGTGTGTATGTGTTAAAATGTTCGGGACAAGTAAAAAATCACGTCGTGCTTTCTCGTTTGGAAAAATAAATACTTTATACTATAAGTGTATGTATATTATTGTATGCATAAGGCATTTTTATTTGATTTAGAACGGCGGATAAATGAAATTTGTTATAGTAATATTTTTATCAAAATGTATATAATATATACAGGTAAAAAATATTCTCGGGATATTGCTCCCGACGGTCTCATTTTAAGCCAACATAAATCCCACGGTCCATCTATTTTACTTAGTACATTTTTGAAAAAAATTACAGTTTTATTTACATTGTATAGCTGTGTATAGGTACAGATAGGCAAGTTGGCAGGTTAGGTACCTCACACCGTGTGAAGTATTTTTATATAAATACGTGTTTGAAATTTAAAAACGTGTAAAGGTATAATGGAGGATATCTAAACACGTGTACTATACGTTAGTCTTTATTGAGGTTATATTTTCTAGAACATCAAAATAGTGGTGCTGCTATTAATACTGTTAAAAACTATTTTGAAATTTGTCTTATACAACAATAATAATTCACTACGTCGGATATTATGTACCGCGTGTCTAAAAAAATATATTTAAATCATTATTTATCTCAAAATGAAATAAACCGACATTAATTTGTATACAGTTAAATATTTAACGTACTTACTTCAAACTTCAAATAATCACTAAAATATTTTGAGAGTCCGTAAAAAGTTATGTGATTACTGAATTGATGAAAAATTCCGCTATCGTGTAGCACGCGAATACCGAACAATTACAAACTTTATTGATATACAAACTTGTTCTTGCGGTTTAAACTGCTGGTGAATTTGACTAATAACTACCGAATTATAAATATTTTGGATATTCAGGAATTTGGATGTTTTTTTTAATAGGTAGTCTAAACCTATTCTTAAACAAGTGTTTCAAATTTTTCAAATGTTTGGGAAAAGATATTTTACCGGGGAAGGAGAGGAGGTTATATTTAACTAGTGTTCATTAATCTCTCTAATATTTTATTGAGGAATAATATCCCGGTCAAATAGCAAAAGGTCAATAATCACTGGTATATCACGGGCTTTATCATTTAATCCTTAACGATTAAAATATAATTTGTTTGCGGCGCTGCACTCTAAATCTGTGTTTTTATTTTTTTTTTTTTTTCGGTCAGCACGGTCTATAAAATATGCACATATGTATATAATATTATTCTAATCATACACATTCCAAACAAGGAGAAACAATTAATACATTCATATTGGATTGAGGAAGAGGGATCTGAAAAGTGCAGTTTGATGGATATACGTTCCACGGATCCATGGTCTTGTTCGATTAGCCAGGATCTACAGTGTTGAATTGTTATAATAATATTATATAGCTGTCAAACACAGTATTAACGTACACCCTATTGAATGAAACTGTTTTTTAAAATTTTGCGTTTCTACCCGTGTTTCCCGATAACTCGCAGTTTTCACCCCCGTATTCTTTTTCTTTACTTTTTTACCCGTTTCGGGTGTTGGACATCACATTAGCAATACCGTCCATGCCAAGTGACACCCATACAATCGACCGTCATTGTCAAGTAATTTACTTTTTGAAAAGGATACTTGCCCCTGACAATTTTACAACAATTAATTAGTATTGAATTTTAGTCATATTATAAATTAGGTATATTCTAAAGAGATAACTAGACTGATTTTCGACATTTTAAGAAACAGTTGAAACTGTTAGAATTTTTGAAATTTTAATGTATGCATCAAAGCTACATCAGCTTCATCAGAGGTTTCTAAAGTGGTCTATATCGACCCCTTGGGGTTGATTTAATCTGCAAGACACCCATACCAACGAAAAAGAAAATTGGGGATGCATGAGGTGTAAATTGGGGTCCACGATAGTTATTAAGTTGAAAATGCGTGTATTGTTTTAGCATGGTTGCCAATCATCCAACAAAAAAAAAAAAAAAAATGAAAAAGATTGGAAATTACTTGTAGAGGCGATTTAAGATTAAATCTGACTAATTTCAAGTCAAATATTGATAACTTACTACCTAACCATCAGACTCATCTTTTCCATTAAAGATATAATTTTAATTTTTTTATGTTATTACATTTAATTTTCACTTCTTGTCGTTTTAATAATTTAAAAAAAGCGTTCCAGGATTATGGGATAGAATGCAACTACTGTTATATGTAATTTAATGCATATTTGTAAGCAACGATAAACCATTGCTAACGAAAAAAAGGTTCTAAACGAAGTTCAGGTGATAGTAGATGTTTTGTCAACAATATATACGTCATAATATATTGAATAATTAAATAAGCATTAAGTATTTCCTTTAATAATATTTGTTTAACACTTATTTTTAAAAAAAAGGCTATTTTTTATAACCGGAACAAAACTTCTGGTAAATAAAGTTGTCCACAAAAAATAAATCTTTTCAGAAAATAAGCTACACTTCTATGTATTAAGATTTCTGATAGAATTTTCCTACACTGATTAAAAAAAAAAATGAAGAAAAAATAAAAAAAATAAAACATCTTAGTAAAACCAATACATTCTTCGCTATACTCAGAATCTAAAATTAAAAAAATATTATTATTATTAAAGAAATAACGATATGGATTAAATAAACAATACAATTTTTTATTTTAAAATTGTTCACTCCATAGCAAACCTTATTCTAGTGAATAGCTCCGTGTAAGCTGTCAAAAACACGTTGATGAATTTGAAAACATTTAATATTAGGGGTCTAGGAAAAACTGAAAAAATTTGCACGTAGTCTACGGGGAAAAAATGTTTGGGAACCTCTGAGCTAAATAATTAAAACTACCACTGTTAAATTAACAACGTAATGTAGATAGCGCTTTGTTTGCTTGTGTATAGCACCCGCATATTTTTTGTAAGAGAACTTTCAATCAAATTGACTAGCACTTATCTGATCAGATCGTGTTATTTTTGGATATCTAAAATCTCCTGCAAAATATAAAATTGTAACTCCTCTCGCGATTTGATCACACGATAGAATATCCCGCAGTGTTCGATCCAAGGCTTGTACTCCTGATTTGTGAGCCATTGTACACTCGTACCACACAATCGGAACAAAATATATGAACATTTTGATCATTTTTTTTTTTACATTACAAACTGGAGTTTTGTATACTTTTAAATTTATTAGAAGATTAAACACAGACTGAGCCGTTTTTCCATAGTTAATTAACGGTGCTGCATTTTCAATCTCGAGAAAATCTATCGCTTCGTTCATTAGAAGTTTCGTCACTGCGTATTAAGCGTACAATTTTAGCATTTATCTACTTCGTCCCATTACTGACCTTCGGTTAGATAGGCGTGATTAAAATTCAAACGTACGGTAACCACTACTACAACAACAAAACATTAACTTGGAAATGTTAAAGTTAAACTAAACATAGTAATCTACGATGAATAAATACTAAAGATAATGTGATATTTTAGGCTTTTTAATATGAAAAAAGCAAAAATAAAAATGTTTGTATCCTATAACTGCCGCGGTAACGTAAGGAAGCTATAGAAAAAACGATTTTGAAAATCGGTCCAGTAGTTTTTACGGTTAGTGCGAACATCCGAAAACCCCGTTCGCTATGTATGTAATACTGTAGATAATATTATTGTACGTTTAAAAGCAACGATAAATCATCGAATTTAAAAAAATACGATTGCGACCAGTGATCGATTTCTATAAAATACTATACAGTACAATAGTGTGTTCATATGACGTTATTTTATTCATTTTTTTTTTTTTTTTTTTTTTCAAAACGTTATCCGGCCATAAAAATTATATCTGTTTATAAAAATAAAAATATTTGACATTTATTGAAAATATCGTTATAAATAAAACCCTAAAATAGCATTGTATTTAATATTTTTTATAAAAACTTTACACAGACTTTGTTGGAATATCTGAAAAAAAAAAACAACGAAAAAAACCGTTCAAAACATACGTGTACACTGTAGATTGCACTGCGGACGCCCAACCCGTTTCCTGATCGTTCCTGCTTAACGGCGTACTCGGTAAACATATCGAAAATACGAAAAATGGTTTGGAGTGCTGCTGAAAAAGAAAACTACAACCGTAGCATTTCTATTTGCCCTTTTTTTTTTCGCAGGCATTTTTCAGAACATTAAATTTGTATATTACCCTTCTTACTAACCTGCCTCTCTAACTGATTACTATTTGTGTTAAATTACCCATCTGAAAAGTAGTTGCATTTTGTGTTACATTATTATCCACCCAAAACTTTTTCTCTACCTAGCTAACTACCTAATTACAAGAGGTAATCAAGCAACTTTCGAGAAAAAAAAAACGTTTTCCTACTTATAAGAACCATGGGAAATACGGTTTTTGAATTGTAAACATGGAAACATTTGTGTGTAAATAAAACATGTATTTGTGAAAAGCCCGCTCAATTATTTATATTTTTTAATAAATGGTTTTTTTTTCTTTTCATAAATAAAAAGATTTGAAAAAAAAAACTATATTGTCTTATGTTGAAGCAATTTTTTCTCGGCATCTTTTTTCCCAGATTTTCTTTGAACGATAATTTTTTTAGATTTCTGGAAAAAATGTTTATCTAACGTAGAAATGTGTTATTTTAAAACTGGTACTGGATTTTTTATTTTTCACGACTGCGGCATTTTAAATCGTGTATATTTTCAAATTTCAATCTACAACATCAGTGGCCTACACACCAGCAGTGGCGGCTCTACTTTAAAAAAAAAATAATAATTAGTTTCGTCTTAAATATGCTTCAATAGCCAAATATGATGTCTCTAGACTGCTGATTATGAACATAATATAATAACATAGTATATGCAATGCATATGTAATAATAAAACATTTTTTCATGATCGTTAGCCTTTTTAGTTCGTACAGTGCGACCTAGCGCGAAAAAACTATTATACTTATATAACTTTAACAATGATGTAGTTGATTTTTTTTTTCTGTTCATTGAAGTATATGTGTGTATTTTCTTATTGGAGTAAAAAATGTTTTTTGGAGTTTCATAGTTTACCTATCAACACATTTTTCGGTATTGATTCGATTAAGTTCAGAAGGTCACTTTCCGATTTACTAGGTACCGATACCAATCCTTATTATTACTGAAAAACCTAACTATAAAGAAAAATGATAAAAAAACAAAAACCAAGTAAACAGTAAATTAATTATCGAATAGCTCGTTGGATAGAATGATTAGTTCTGTCGTACGATTTTGCTATGTTTGATTGAACACACAATATTTGTACATTTTTCAGTACATTGGAAATTAAATTATATCTTATAGACATTTAATTTTTATGTTTTTTATATTGTAAGTATTTAAATATTTTATAAAGGTGTGAATTTTTCTTGGAAAACTGTTTAGTATAAATGCGCCAATGTTTTTCATGCTGCACTTTAAAAGATGCGGATTGTACTGAAATTGAAACATTTTTCGCAATTATTAACACTTAATCCAAACAAAGTCGGTATTTATGTTTATTTTTTTTTTTAAACCACTACCGTGGTTTGGTTAGGTTAGGTGCATTGTTTCAGTCAGTCTTTTAATTCCGATCTTCTCCGAATTTATGCGGGATTCCGGGGTAATGGTACTTTGTTTAAAACATTTATCAAAACAGTTCAATCACTAGTTCCTTTATTGGTTGTTAGTCTTTTAGTTGATTTCTGAACTATTTTGGGGAAAACGGAAAAAGCACGACCTAATACTACCTCACTCAGAATCGCTTTTCGTTTGTAATGATTTACCGTTGCAGACGGTTTACAAACTAAATCATCATTATGCATCGTGCTATTTCAACTATACGACTATACCCACCTATTACTATGGCTTAAGTGTGGTGCGAATTGTCGGGAACACGATAACGTGTAGGTACACCGAGGATACAGTACGGTATTTTTGTTGTCGGGGCAATGAGATTAACGTTAAGACCGTGATTACGTCCGCGTGCGTTCCGCGTGAAATAAAAAAAAAAAAAAAATGAAAAAATGAACGCGCTAGTTATGCACAATACAATAACACGATGATACGATTATGACACGGAGTTAGTTTTCAACCGACGGAAAACTGTATTGCCGCCGTACACAAAAAAACAGTGTGTTTCGAATACCTAAACAGCAGCCGCATAATATAGCGTTTCAATCCGGCATTTAATTGACGCGAACGGTAATAATGTTATCTCGCGGACCGAAAGCGGAAACGGCGCGGCAGAAAGAAGAAACTTTATTACTTATTATGCATTCGCCGCGTGAGTGTAACGGCGACAGTGCGACACGCGTAAAACATAATATAATTCCGTCGATTCGAAACTCTGCGGCCCGCGCGTACCGTCAACGTGTAACGATACCGTACACCACGGCGTCTGCCGTCTCTGAGACGCGTCGGCGGCCGCGCGTTACCGGTACCGGTGCGGACTATTGCGCGTGTCGCGTACCGGACGATGACGAACCGCGTGTGCGCGCGGAGACGGCGACGAATAGACAAACGCACCGGACGAACGGGAAACGCGTTGGCGATCAAGTAACATTTCGGACGCGTCGAATCGCTGATGACCACGTACATTTTAAGAACGAACAACGCTAGCGGGTGCCCGGTAGACGGCGTCACGTTGTGTTGTATAGGACGACGACGTACCGAGCGCGGGGGAAGAAAAAAAAAGCAAATCCAATTATTACGCGTCGTGATGTGTTTAATGAAAACAATAAAAAAAAAAATAATAACAATAAAGTTTAATCCGGTTCTTGTTGTACACCGAAAACTGTCGCGCGCGATTGAAATTTTTGAATTATTTTCGAGTACCCGGGCCAAACCTTCGACAAACGCCTAACGTGGACCAAACACGGTTTTATAATTGAATAGACGACTTTATCCGCTCAGACCCATCCTAGGCGGATTCTATTAAAATCTTGATCGAATCTAACATGCTCACCTATAATCTCCTATTTAAACCTACACGAACGTATGACATTCAAATCTGGGGCGCCGCAAAAACAATTTCAACATTCAAATAATACAAATTTTCCAACCTGAGACCAATCTGAATACTTTTGGTCACCATTCCTAGAAATCTCCCCGGGAGGCTTAAACGCCAACGGTCCCGAAACCCTATTAACCGAATACCTAAATAACTAATAAGCTCACGTCGAATCGCGCCATCACTGGATGGTTCTTGCCTCAAACCAATATGCCACTGTATATGTCTACGTTTATTTTTTATTCTACCTTATGCTTATTGTTCCGTATATTGTGAACAGATTGTATTATATTCTAAAAAGAAAAAAAAACCCGGAAGTTTAGTAAAACCGTGCGATTTTTATACCTATGTATTATATTGCAAGCAATATTGTTTTTGTGAAAAGGAAAATAAGTTTATAATTGCGTTTTCACGTAAAAACCCCAAACTTTGTCAATATTAATATTGGAAAAAAAAATCCCGCATAACTGCGTAGTAACTCTGATTGAGTTTTGTATCCAATGGTATTGCGAGGATGGTTTTGTGAGTAGGCATCGGTACTTTTTTAGTTTGTTTTTTTTTTTCTAGTAAACTTTGTTCTCGTGAACGGTCGATCGGTTTTTACTCGCCAGGTTTAATGTTATACCAGGTAGACGTGTATATTAATATCGGTTTTTAAAATTTATTTTCCCTTTAAAATATAAATACCTATTTTTACGCAGCAGTTACAATAATCGTTTTATATGATTCAGTAGTGGATCCAGAAGTCACCCGAAGGCGGGAGAGTGAATTTTCAAAAATTAAATTAAATTTTTTTTTTTCTATTTGACCCGTATTGGAGGCTAATTGTTTGGATTATTTTTATAAATTTATAAGATGAATGGTATACAAGATACAAAATACGACTATACGAATGAACGAGTCGTATGATATATTAATATGACATAGGAACCTAAATATGAAATCATTGGTTTTATGAAATACAGTTAAGATAATGTGTGTTCCGCTGTTTCCCAACATGTTCTGTAACTGTTAATAATGTACAATTATTAGCGATTGATCGATTTCCGACGGTACGCAATCAGAACAATAAGAATAAGATAAAAAAAAAGCTAATTGGAAGAGTATATCAGCTGCAGTACCTCAAGGTAGCGTTCTCGGGCCTATTTTGTGCCTACTCTATACAGCTAATGTTCCAACTAACGACAATGCAATGATAGCTATGTTCGCCGACGACACGGGCAATACAATCAACAAGGAAGGACCAACGAGCTGTGACTGAGATCCTACAAACGACAATCAACACCGTTTACAACTGGACGAAACGATGGAAAATAAAAATTAATGGAGATAAGTTGGTGCACGTTAACTACACCTTACGTACACCGCACAAATCTCTGTCACGCTAAATCAGCAGATAATAATTCCGCAAAATGATTCAGCGAAATATCTGGGAATGTGCCTTTACTCACGACTTAATTGGAAACATCATGCGCGCCAGAAAAAGTTGCAAATCAAACAAAAAAAATGCAAAAACTGTACTGGCTAGTTGGACGACACTCCGAGCTAGACTTAACCAGCAAACGTATCTTGGATGTATCGGTTGTTAAACCGATTTGGATTTGTGGTATTCAACTGTGGGGTTGTACCAGTAAGTCCAATATCGAAATAATACAACGATGCCAGAGCATCGCTCTGCGTACCATTGTCGCAGCATATCGGTATGATAAGTACGACATCATCCACCGCGATTTGAAAATGTCATCCGTGCAGGATGAAATTACCCGGTTTGCTTGCAAATATGCAAGAAGACTGGAGCTTTACACAAATACAGCTGCCATACAACTCCACGACAACTCACAGACATTAGACGACTCAAACGACTGAAGCCATTTGACTTAGTCTAATTATTAGATTAATTATGGGGCTGCTTCACTGTAATTAAAACCCCACACAAGTTTTGTGAATATGCATATTGTATTGTGTGCATAAATACCTCTATTGATTTAAATTTATAAAGATTCTTTTATCGTTTAAATAAAAATTTGAAAAAAGTCTGAAATCTTAGTAAAACCGATAGCTCCCCCGCATCGCTCGGAATCTAAAATTACTAATTATTTATTTAGAAATTATGTAGAAAGTGTGTTTAAAGTAAATATTTCTATTTCATGAAAAACATATTTTTATACGTATTTTTTGTTAGTAATAAAATAATGACAGTTATAATTTTATAGAATTCAATAAAATCGATTGCCCCTATCGCTCCCTCACCTGTGAATTCCCGCCTAATATGATTGATAAATCATATCAGGTGGGTACGACCAATAAGTAATTTAACTGCTCATACATTGGGGTTAACTAGAGATGTACAAATTTAAAAAATGTTTAATGTGCATTGAAAGTTTGAACATTTTGAAAACCATAATATTTTTTGTTTCATAATATACATAATAATTAATTAATTAACCGTATAATATTAAAATGGTTGGGATCAGTGGAAATAAATTAGTATAAAACACGATTTAAAAAAAGTGAAACGCTGAACTATTTGTTCCTGAACAGTAAAAAATTTGATCTAATTTTTTAGCACTTTATATGTGGCCACAAAAATTGTATAAAACGAAAAACAAAATACAATTTCAAATGTTTCGTATATGAATAATAGGTATATGTATATATATATATATATAAAATAATATATATATATATATTTATATATAAAAAAAAAATAATAATATTTTACAATTCCTTTTTAGATTAGATCCTTTGAAACTAAAACGTCATATAGGAACATAAATGTCAAATATAAATTTTTTCCGTTTACGCTATTTTCTTTAGCATACATATAAATTATGTGCCATATTTATTTTTGTTTCTAACTCATGACTAAAATACAACGAATTATAAAAAAAAAAATAAGGATAATGGGCGTCTACTGTTATAGGTAATTTAATATTATATACCTGTAAGCAATGATAAATTATTGCTAACAAAAAAACGATTCTAAGAGCAGCTAAGTTAATAGTGATGCTCTGTCACCAATATATATGTCATATAATGGTATAATAATTAAATAGTCAATATATATTTTCTTTAATAATATTTCATTAATATTGTCCCGATTTTCCCGTTTCTTCTGTGTTTTTCCCGGTTTCCTCACGTTTTTTCCTGATTTTTCACATTTGCTAAGAAAACTCTTGGGAAAATCGAAAAATTACCTCCTCAAGTTATCATGGAGAAAAAACTTTCTTTAAGAAATAAGCTACACTTGATACATAGCAAGATTTTTGGTAGATAAGTTTACACAACAAATTTGAGGGCATTTTGCGATCAAAATAGTTCGAGCGAGCGATGGCTTCGGTCTCTAGGTACAACTAAAATGCATTTTTTGTTTCCTTTTTTAGGTTATAAGGAAAAAAAATGGATAAATTTCTTTTCGAAGCACGGGTTTTGAACTCGTGAACCCTAAGATAAAAACTGGTATGTATAACCATTCACACATTCACGCACAATTTCTAGACCGGCTCTCTCCGATGAGCACTGTGCCATCGCCAGCTTTACAAATGTCATAATATTATAATAACGAGTACCCATTCCCGGTGACAAGAGTTATTTTATCAAACAAAGTTTCCGTAATAATATGTTGCCGACAATTACAAACCATTCGAGTTCTCTACGTGTACCGCGCGGTAAACGTAAAGTATCGAGACAACTTCAGTCATTTTATATATTTCATCCTTCTCGGAGTTCTCACGATTATTGTACTACAATCGTTTAAGTACATGTTATTTTATTCGGGGAAAACCGTGAAAAATATGATTCTGGATAATCACGCGGTAATCGCAAGGACTCGAAGTGGGATGCAGTATCTGATGAAATGTCGGACTCTAGAACATTCAGAGCCTTATTTTACTACTACCAGTGGCGCACTGGTCATGAGAGTTAAGAAGATATATCTCCCCGGGCCGGCCGGTAGTCTCAGGGACGTGCCAGAGGCAAGACACACGTTTTTAAATTAAAATATCGTATTCCATGCAAATATAATTCATTGTTTCATCGAAATAAATATCCAACAATTTTGTGCTTCTGTTGTCCTCCATGAGTTAAGTCTGTATTAGAATTGTTATCAGCTAATAAGATATTATATTGAATGAATCGAAATATATGAGCATAAATTTACACTTTTAAAATTGAGTAAAAATTGATCCAGTGCCACTTCACATCTTCTGGCAGTCGCTGGTTTTGGTACATATTTTTAAACGAGGCGACCAAATATTAAATATAACTATATACTAAGTAATAACAGATATACTCCCGGTCAACCAAATTCATGTTTTTCGTAACTACTAAAAAATGATTTTGAGATAATTATAGAATTCATTAAAAAAAAAAAAAAATGTAAATAATCCAATAATTAGACAATGATTTTTTTAAAAATAATATTATCAAATACTGTTATAGTTTTTAGTTATCAATTTTAACGATTTTTTACTATACTAAAAGCTAGAATATTATGTCGCATAATTTGTGCGTTATTTACTAAGTTACTCGTTTAAGTTTTAATTCATACTGTTTTACTTAAAATATGATAACTAAAAATATTCTTTTATTTTTTAAATATTGCAAGCTGAAACAAACAAAATTGATAGTTTTAACTCCAAGAAACGTGACTAAGATCTTTTAAAAACAAATTGTCTTATCTAGTTTTAATGAAGTTAAACAATGAAATTATTAAAAAGAACATCCATAAATCATTATAAAACCAGTATTTTCTACTTTTAATTTATTGTATAAATTATAAATTAATAAACTGGGTATCTACATACAATCAAAGAACCAAGTAGCGACGACTAGTTGAGTGATAAAAAAATGCAGACATATGATGTTAGGAACGATACTTGTATACTTTACGGTTTATGACCATGTACTGGCACTGCTTCCAGCGTCGTTAGAGGTGACATGTGCGGATGTCACTGGCGTCTCTAACCGCGCTCTGCGCATACCTGGGGGTGGCTATAGTGTTTCCAATGTGAAGCAAACAGCTAGATGAGCAAACTTCAGTTAGAGAAAACAAAATACCGTGAAATTTATTGTAGTTTTAAAGTCAGTATTAATGACAAGTGATAACATTATTATCATGATAACAAATAACGATTTAATATTGAATAATAATATAATAATATAATATTGAACCACAGTATTGAACATTTAAGTTTGAAGTTTAATTTTCATATTTCGTTATTATTTTATGATAAATTTTATAAATTATTTTAATTTTTATTAAAATCGTATTCGTATTTTTATTTTAATCAATCGTTTACCAGGACATTTTTTTTATTTGCGGTCACACTGAATTTTGCCCTTTTGATTACTTCACTATCTCAACTAAGCAATTTTAGGTTAGTGTATCCCTGTATATACTCTGTGACATATGCGCAGAGCGCCGGGAGGGGCGTCAGCGACCCCCACACCAGTTTCCTCTGTTGAACCGCTACCGGTGATGTGATATTAAAATGTATAGGTAACGCGAGTAATTAACTACGTTAATAGATACTGTTATTATACATATATTTCGGTGTATAATACAAATGTCTCGTGCAACTTGCATGGAAAAAAATTAAATAGTTTAATTACATAACAAAAGAGAACTCAAAAGCATTCAAATTTTAAGCTGTACATAAAACAAAAAAAAATAATTTTAGGAAAATGACAGATGAGGTGGCGCGCCTCATTCGCCTCACTGGTCATGTCCGACAGCTAACCTCAGACAGCTTCGAAGCTTGAAGTGACCGTTCGTATACGTGCGATCTATATTGTCCATGTTTGATGGGCAGTAACCTATAAGTCGGGTTCCAGTTTTTTTTAGAGACTAGTAGTACGGGAACCTCTCATTGGGCCGTAGTCTGTTGGAGCAGGCTTTGGGCCGTGGCGTTCCCTTTCAGATTAATCTGTAAAAAACCGGTTATCAACACAATTCTATACTATTTAAGAACATAACTTTCATACAGGTTAAAGGAAACGAAATTGTAACATATTATTATACAATTAAACAATAGAAATGCACCTTACAACCTGGCTACGATTTTTTTTTAAATTTTCCTTTTTCATATTTTAAGACATTTTTAAATCCCTGAGAAATAGTGAAATTTCTCCCCTGTATTTAGCAACACTGGGTCAATACTTTTTGTTTTTAGAAAAAAATTCGACAAAAAAAAAAATAAAAACGAATCATTATGATTATCATACTACATAAATACCTACGGTTATGTACTTCTTTCAAACGCGGTTGAAAATATGAATCTTTTCAACCGGTTGGCCCGCTTTCTGGTAGATTTTATGTTCCAGTTCTCCGATATTTCCGCATAATCTGTCCACGAAAAACCACCCGATCACTACGAGTTACAACGAATTACCCGTACCGATAAAATGTATTATGCTCACCGCGTTTTGTGAATCGTCTTTGGGAAACGATGATTCCTCTATCGACCGGTTCTTCTTTATCCGCAGCCGGGGTACTCAATCGCATTCTGAAGAACTCTGAAAGCGAAACAGATTTCACACCGAATGAGAAACAGTCTATAAGGCGGGTATTCGCCGTGCACGCGAATGACGCCGTGTAACTAGTCTCGTAACGTTATCGGACGCTACGTAACGTGTACTATACTGACCGATGGCCGGAATGGCCGACACCGGCGGTGACGGCGGCACCATCGAATCGAAGATCACTCGCGGGATCCCCGTGCGAGCGACGCCGTAAAATTTCTCGAACGCCCGCTCGCCAAGCCGCCCAACGTCCAAGTCCGCGGGACAGGACGACGCGAGATCCTGCGACGACACGACGACGGCCACGGCAGAGACGGCTGGAATCGGCCCGTACGTCCCGTCGGGCACCGCCGTCGCGGCAGCCGCAGACCCACATACGTGCGTCCAGTCCAAGCATTTCTTTTGCGCGCACGTTGTAACGTCTAAAACACGTGAACGGCAGAGAATTATCGACAAGATGGCGTTCAGCTACTGTAAAACGACATTATACTGCCGTACGACAACTGAATAGAAAATAATTTCCAATCGGAAAATATTATAATATTGTCCGTGGCCGGAATTATCGCGCCGTTCGTAGCGGGTCGCGTGAAATGTCGGAAAATATTATACTCGCGCGACCGTGTTTTTGTGTTAAAAAAAAAAAAAATCTTGTAATCAAACGTATTTTGCCGGGAACGTGTTTGCTTCGCGAAACCGTAACAATAATAGTATTTAATAGAAACGTTATTTTAATATTAAAAATATAAGTCGAAAATGTAGCGCATTTATTATTTTTTTAAAGCTAATCTTGTGGCACCTTGCATTTATTAAAAAAAAAAAGAGAGATCTCCGTTTAGATTCTGATCGATGTGAGGAATATATTGGGTAAAAAATAACATCTTCGGTCAAAATTTCCGCAATCGAGTTTCATCGCCCCCTTGGTTACTGCAGTTAGCATAGGTATTAGAGATTTATAGCGCTGTGCTGGTAAGTAACTCTGGTCATACACGGAACGATGAAAACATTTGAGATTTAGTGCGAAAAAGAAAAGAAAAAAAAAAGAGTTGATATTGCTAAAAGCTTTTTTTGGAAAATTGAAAATGACTTCCTCGAGGCACTGAATAGATTTTTTCATCGAAGCAAGATTTCTGGTAGAAAACTCATCACGCTCTAAATAATAATAATAATACCTAAAAAGAAGGTTAAAACTAAAAAAAGAGTAAAACCAACAATATAAATTCTTCTATATGCTCAAATTCAAGAAGGAAGAACAAATTATGTACTTACAGATGCACTTCTGTAGAAATAGGCACCAGAACCAATGTAGCCATACGTCACCACAAGACTTGCAATCGTTTGACATCCAGATTTGTATATTATAAAAGATATTTCGGAAATATTCAAAAATGGAATGCATGGTTTTTGAATGATTCAAACGTTTTATACGTAAATATATTCTACTCAAAAACGTTGTATGATTATACAATGAATAATTATGAAAGCGCTTTTTGAAGGAAATGTCTTTTTCTCTCCATAGTGACGATATTATATTACTTCGGTCTAATTTTGTTACTAATGAAAAATAATTATATGTAAAACAATAAAAATCATGATCGAAAATATATATCTTGCATTTTTTTAATCATGGAATAGACACAAAATTTTGAGTTTAATTTAAAGTTGATACCGATAACAGTGGCGGATAAAAATTTGACATGAAAATTATTTTATAAAAAAAAAAATACTACATAAAGCTCAAATTTTTCGTTTTTATCACAAAGTACGATTTATAATGAACCCCTGTTAAATTTTCAAGCATTTTTGTTTAGTCTAACAATATTATCCACAGAGTACCTACCAAATAAACATGACGTACAAAACTCGCAAAATTAAAATGTCTATAAATATCTAAAAATGGCTAACATTTTTTTGAAAATTTGACCTCGTATAGAAAAAACAAACGAATTTTCTGTTCAAATTTTGAGTATCTACAGATATTTTTTAAGTGAAATATAACAAAAAACAGAAATAAAAATAATAAAAGCCTTATTTTCGTAAATGTTACCGTTTTCCTTGCGTTTTATCCCGGACTACCCCAGATATTACGAAAACCGCTTGGAAAAAAAAAAAATTCTCTATTTAAGAATCTAGACAATATTTTCTTTCAGGTACGGCGCCACGCGTACATATCGGAACATTACATATACATTACATATTATCGTTAATAATATTTGTTTAATATTATATCTATTTTCCAGTTTTTCCCATTTATTGGAAAAATTCCTGAGAAAATCAAAAAAATTACCTCCACTTAAATCATATTTACTTTCAAAAAAAGTACTATCTAAAAAATCTATAAAATTGTTGATAGAAAATTTGTTCACAGGAAAAAAGACCGTAATATTTTTTTTACTAATGCCTATATTTTTTACAATTTGTACGGATAAAATTATTTGAAATAAAGTACGAAACACACGTTATAGTAAAACAAAAATAATCCTTTCTGCCGAATCTAAAAAAAAAAAATTTCCGACTAGACAAATGACAAAAAAAAATTGTGGCGCTAGATTTTTGAATTCCCGTGCGCCGATCCGGTCCCAATTCACAACCGAGTACTAGAACTGCGATGTAAACATAGTTAAATTGTTGATATAACTATTGAACTCGGGTTCATAAAACTTCAAAAATATCACATATTCGAGACTTTCGTTTATCTCCTCAATCAAATTATATTGTTTGCGCTTTTGTGTTTCTTTTTTCTTACCCAATTTCCGGACGGTGTATGCATAATCAAAACGCGTCGTTCGCCGTCCAATTTATCGAATCAGTAGTGTTATCGTCTGACAGCATTTTAAATAATTGCCCCTTATGTGTAGGCCCCCTACTGATCGAGATGCGTCTATTCTCAGATCCCGCCGAAGGAAAAAAGTGCCCTTTTCGTTTACGGTAATTAATTATTTTAAAGGAATATCGCAATCGACAGCGGTTTAGCTCTGAAATATCCATACCAAACACCCGTTGACGATTTTTCGATGAACGTTGAACCTGAAAATACCTAACGGATTTCGGCATTTCAACAATAATATTATTGGCCGGCCGCGTTGTTTAACGAACCTACGAAACATTACATGTTCTAGATAAAATCGTATACACGTGTTTATGTATTTATGTATTTATTGAATAAACGGCCGATGAGTTATTGTTTCAAACGCGAAACAAACTCTTTATGATTGTTTAAAAAGACAAGAAAATAACGGCGTTATTGGTAATTTTTTAGCGATATTACGAAATGTCGAAGGACATAAATGGCTACGGCAGCCGTTATATAATCGATCTGCCCGCGTTAAGTCCGATGTTTTCGGACCTCGGACCACATGCATGTCACTCTTTAAGGGTACTTTCAGATGACATATTATGGCCACTCTATTATAAGACGGGCGCAAAAAAAAAAAAAAAAAATCACTACTATACTACAGCGATTGCCGGAGAGTTCGGTGTTCGGGATTGTGAATGATTACCGCGGTAAAAGTTACGAGACTGCCGACGGGATTTGAACGGATGACAATGTCCAGTGTCCGCTGTCCACGTCGTGCAGGTTTATCCGTTCAACAGCTACTGCACTGGTATAATAGTATACCGCAATGAATAATGACGTCGTGTTTTACCCGAATTCTCTATTGTACACAAAGAAAAAAAAAAAAAAAACCATAGTTGATTCAATGTGAAAATACTGCCGAAAAACAAGACCTCCGTGCGGAATAAAATTGTGCGTAACATCTTCCGTAGAACTTTGCAAGATAAAAATTACAAAATCCGTAAAATTGCAATTTATGAAATTTTTTTTAACGATTACAAAGCTTATAGCGGGTGTAGTACTTACATTTTCATAACAAAATTAGATGCAGTTGTATATTTGTCGTGTTAGAAAAACGCCGATAGCCAACCTATACCAATATATAACGCATATGTTATTATTTTACCATATTGTGACACACATACTATTGATGAAGCAACACTATTAACCGAACTACGCTCTGAATCGTTTTTCGTTAGCAATGGTTTATCGTTGTGCACTAAACAATATACATCCAATTCCTCCCATATCTTCCCAACTTTCCATCTACAACAGTGTCCACCCGTCGTGCCGAGTATATTCGTCTTTTTTTTCTTAAACGAAGACAATTTAAATCCTCGACTTCGTGGTATGCCAAAAATCATCAAGATTATTCGCTTATAAATTTATAACTATTGTACATAATAAATTCACGTGAAATCTCGTACTAGCGGACCATTCCCAAATGTTGGCACACGTATATTTCTATACACCGGTTTGGAAACTCGAAAATGTTTCTAAATTGAAAAAAATGAACAGAAGAAAAAGCTGTCCTTACGCCTATGTCCATAATGCGTCCTGGAGCTCTTATACGCATCTTAAAACACCACTACAAACTACAATAATCATTACTCTTGACCCAAAGTACTCACGTATAAGAATCCTTACAGTAAAAAAAAAAAAAAAAAAAAAACAGCGAACAAAATAACCATCAGATAAAACCTCTTCGCCGACTTATAAAAAGACAAAATAACATTACTGACGAACGATGTCCCGTAAATATCTACCAGCGTACACTCTGGAAAATAAGACTCACGAGTGCTGTGTAACCGATAAAACGACATAATAATTATAATATTAATAATTGATTAATGTAAACTGAAATATAGACACGACAAATAATTATTATTTTGAACCCGTTGGTTCGGTTAAAACAGGTATTTGTATATTTGTGAGTGTTAAACAATTTCAATGTTAGTCAATCGAAAGGTTTTTAACGATAACATGTTATCATAGAACGTTTCTCTACAGTCGACATTAATTTTATATACTACTAACCGAGCTTCCCTCAAAATCTTTTTGGCAATGCTTAAATTCATTCAGATATACATTCAATTTTCCTCAATATCCTACCTTCCCAACTTTTCATCTATAACATTCGTACATCCACCGTGCGAAGTATGTCATTTTTTTTTCTTATCAATTATTAATATTAAATTTAATTTCGCCTCTCCTCCCCCCCCATAATGAAGGTCATGAGACGCCCCTTGTTATAAAATTAATTTTTCATTTGCTCCAAACGATAAAACACGGTGACGTATTTTTTTTATTTTGACATTTCCTCATTCCCGAGGAAAGCACTTAAAAATATGGAATCATTATGGTTAACAAAAATATGTTTCATATTACGATTTTTCTTTTTTTCATAATATGAAATATTTTATTTTTTTTGTTTCAAATTTTATTTAATTTTGTAAATTCTTTTTTTTATGTATATTTATATCATATTGCTGTATTGTAAAACGTTACAAAATATAATTCCGTTTAAGGAACACATTAACATACACAAACTACTAAAAATAAATTTTTTTTTTTTCGAAAATTTCGTTAAGTGCTCACATACGACGTAAGTTTTATATAAATATATGCAAACATATTACCTCCGGATGGTACGCCACTGTTGTAGGTGGGAAGTTGGGAACTAACCACTAAAATAATTATTGAAATTAAAAAAACGATTTTGAACAAAGTACGGGCAACCGATAAGATTAGATAACATTTTTATTCGGCTTTTTCCTCATTGTACCCAAGGTAACCCGGGATATACAAAAAAAAAACTTCGATAAATTGTTAGTTTTTTTTTTTTCATATTTTTTGGAGAAACTGTTATGGATTTCGGAGAATGTTTCACATAAAGTACCGTTCAGTAAGAATTACTCATTGTTTTCGAGAAAAAAAACACATTATTAATAAATCTAATAACTTTTTCGTTAAAATGAGACTGCCGATGTGTAGCTGAAGTTGGTAAGGATTTAGAATGGTAAGATTTATTACAAAACAATCAGTTTAGGTCCCGAATACGAAAAAAATATGCACACAAATACGAGCGTACGATACATTAATATAAAGTAATATCATTATATAGTATTTGTATTTTAAATTCTGCGCAAAGAAGCTTATGATTTTACAAAGATGTTTATTTTTTTTTTTTATCTGTAACAACTTTTATACCCGAAGACATGCTCGGATTTCTAATAGTAGCACATTTTCTGAAAGGAAATCGGTGTGGAGAAGTACTTTAAACAGGTCATTTTTCGATTTTCCCTAGAATTTTCCCATCAAATGTGAAAAACCGGGACAAAACATAGGAAAACCGAGAAAAACGTAGGAAAACTGGAAAAATCGCTACAACACTAAACAAATAATATTAAAGAAAATATATAAAGACTATTTAATTATTTTACTATAAGATCACTTTGTTGACAAGGCATCACTATCAACTGAACTCCGCTCAGAATCCTTTTTTCGTA